TGCTTGCCTCCACTACCGTCCCAGTTACACAAACTCAGGAATTCGTCAGTGTACAGAGAGAACGCAACACTGTCAGAACTACCTCTCATCCTTAAAACAAACTGTTTCTGTAATTTGAAAATATTATGCAAAATAAATATTGTTTATTGAAGAAATTGTATACATTACTAACCGTTGCTGTAGCGAATTCTTCGCATTTCAGTTTTGTTAATGGTAGGGCGGAAGCAATTTCTGTTTGTGTGTTGTCGATTTCTTCGCCAGTCAGTMGGCATACTGATTGGTGAACTTTCCGAATTAGCACCTTACATTCGCGGACGGTTTCTTGTTGGACCATTTCTTTGAATTATCTGAAAAGAACAAGTGCAGTTAGACAATACTTTAATAATGCCTAATCAACAACATCTAAACCATACGTTTTCTTTGTATTGATGAATACTTATAGAACAATAAAAAGTTTTATGGACATAAACTACATTTTATTTCAAAAAGCTGCCCATCTTCCTTTCCATATTTTCAACTCTGGAAGACAACTCTTGTAGTTGGGAGGAAATAGTTTTGTAGTCTGAAAAAGGTGTAAACATAATAAAGTAAAAATTTTTAAGAAATGCATTTTGATTACCATTTCCATCCACAAGCAAATTGTTTCCTTGTTGCTTTGTGAAGCTTGCCTCTGAGTTGTAGTAACCAGAAATGTTGAACTTCTTCCGTTTAAATGTCAATTGTTCTACAATAACAAATGCGTAAAAATAAATTGAAAACTAAAATGACATTTTTACATGTACCTTTTACGGGAGTCGAAGACTTTGTTGGGCATTCCTCCAAATAGGTGTCATCAGAAAGCGCTGGTGAATCCAACTGATTAAGAAATAAAAATTTGGCAGCATCAAAATTCATTTTAAATAACTTAACATAATATAATAAAATACCATCGGGACTATACAATAATTACAGAGAAAAATACTAATTTGAAAATTCATGAAATAGATGATGTAAAATCGGAATTAGAAGAAACTTGCTCTCATGTGGAATAGAAAAATATTTATAAATTATATCGTCTTCTTCTATTTTAAACAAATGTGGGTCCAATTTATCTGCCAACAAAATACCTAAACCAGATGACGATTCCAATGGTTCTTGAAAGTAGTTTTCAACACCCAAGAAATAATGTGCCGATAAAGTTGCGATACCAGATTCCTCTGTCCTGCCTGCAACTGTTATGGCGCTTAATTTTTGACTAAAACAATAGGAGTCTTTTTCTTTTTTAAAATCTATATTAAACGAATTAATTTTGGATATTTTATTGCAAGTAAAATCTGGAATATTTCTTTCTTCTAGCCTTAAATGTAATTGCTGCATAATTTTATTGGGCTTATTTATAAGTTTTTTTAAATACTGCATGTGATTTTCAAACTTGTAAGCAGAAAAGTTGTCTACAGGACCATATTGCTAGGTACAGTCAGTTAAATGGAGTAAACCATGTATATTGTAACTAACTAAATGGTCACCGTATATATTTCCAAACAAATCAACGAATTCTTCCAAGATTTGTTGGCCAACATTGGCTTCAGTGCTATAATACTTCTTGCATAATAGTAGTATTATACCTGCCTGCAATAAGAGGAAATGATAGTAATGGTCATCACCAATGCAGTCCTTTAGGAAAAATATACCTACATATATACAATAAGAACTGCCTAAACTCTGTCGCTTTCCAATTGCTGATTTCATCTAAATTTGTACATATTCGACCGAACTCTGAAGGAACTAAATTGGAAATAAATGTAATTTTTTCGATAACTTTGCTTACGTTTATATTGCCTTTTTTAATCAACAATTGAAGCAACTTTTTACATACACCAAGATCTACAAGGTGCATTGGGTCTAAAGGAAATTGGGAAACCACTTTGAAATTTCCTGACTCTAAAATGCTTTCCTGGCTCTAAAATGAATAATTTGAGGCCATCTATTATTTTCATTTTCAAGTTGAGGAAAAGAATTTTTCTCAAAATGATTTTGAATTCCTCTATATAAAAAAGATCCACTTAAAATCGTACCTAGGAGACTTTTAGCCGTTAGAGGTAAATCTGTGTAACCTATATTAACGAAGATCGGTTAGTGTATTATTATTCTATTCCCTATTTCTCAAATCCCAAGCTTTTAATTCTAAACTAAATGAATTATTTTCTATCACTTTTAAAATTTCGCTATCACTATTATTCCTATCACTAACATAGCTATCACTGCAATTTGAAGAAAAATCAAGGGAGCTTAGTGAACTGCATCCCTCCACATCAGGACCACAATCAAAATTTACATCTTTTTCACAAATTTAGATGCACTAAGATTAAAAGCCTTTTTTTCCGGCTCATATATGCACTAAATGYATTTTTCTTCATATTTGTTAGTTTCTATACTCACCCTTTTTCTAAATTTCACTTGTAGACACACTCGTAGACACAAAAACGAAATTAAATAAACACAATTAAAATATATTTAAATATTTATTTCATTATATGTATATATTCAGAAGGACCTGGCTACGCTTGGAATATCCAATTGGCGCCACGTAGCGAAAAGAAGAAACGACTGGCGCGCTGTTGTTAACTCGGCTATAATCGCGTAAGCGGTGACAGCTAAAAAAATGTGTTTGTCTTCTTTTCTTTTATTTTTGGTTAACATCTGTTGAGTGAAGAGCTTATAATATTAAACAAACAAAATACACAATAGATTGACTTCTTTCTCATCTCAAAGATTTCTGTGGGAGTGTTAGTAACAAGTAAAAATTGTGTAAAAGTATTGGAGTTTCGGTCACGCAAGTTTTGCTGGGGTTTTGCTGGGATACAATACCCCTGCATGTGTTTGTGTAGGCAACGCAAGTGACATCAACACATCAACAAATACATCGTGCAGAAACATTTAACGGCGCACGGATTGCATTGTTTTCCAATCCGTGCAATGACACAACAACAAAAGATAGGCAATGCGTCCAAAATATAGTACCTCAAAACCGGTATTAATGTTCACTTAATGAGGCATAAAAAAACAATTACAACTTTGTACCATTTGCCATATTACATATAAACAAATACATTTCGCTGGTATTTCTGTTTATGCAATGAAGAGTTCCCACGCTTTTGCGTATATTGGTAAAGGATTTTTATATTCTTGCAAACAGTTGCTACCAAGTACGAGTATTATAGTTTTGTTAACCTAGCTGTGCCCAAAAAAAAAGGTGACATTGTATTTATTTTGAAAATTCTTTATTTATTGTTCCAAATCAATTTCATTATCTTCAAAGTAATCCCCACTAAATGTAGTACATTATCCCAACGGATTTTCCAATCTTCGAAACACTGGTTGTAGTCACTTTCCTGGATGACCTTCAGTTCCGTCTTCGCTGCGGCTTGAATATCGTATAAAAACGGTCTTTTGAGCTTGGTGAACAGCCAGAAATCGCAAGGACTTTTTGGCGAAATGATCATTTAATTCAAATTCGTTGCTCAACAAATTTCGACATCGCAAAAAATGAAAAACTCACTTTTAGCAGCTCAGAAAACGACACGTATCTCAAACACTAATGAATATTGTGACATGAAATTTGACATAAATACCAACCTAAAAAAAAATAATTCTCCAAATCCTTCGACGCGCGCAGTTTATATTCAAATATCACCTTATTTGTTGCACGTAAATGATTAGGATGACGAGAAAATTTTAAATCCGGGTCACTGCCTGTTTGTCTGTTCGTCCGTCCGAGCAAGCTGTACATTAGGTAACAAGTAAGGAAGTGCTAAGTTCGGGTGTCACCGAACATTTTATACTCTCGCATCAAATACCGTATTTGTGCAAAGTTTTATTCCGCTATCATCATTGGCTCCTAATGGATATATTATACAGGGAAGGCAACAGATGGAATTCAAAATAGCGTTATATTGGAAGAAGGCGTGGATGTGAATTAACCCGATTTAACCTATATTTCGTACATGTCATCAGGGTGTTAAGAAAATATTATGTACTGAATTTCAATTCAATCGAATTGAAATCGGTCGAGTAGTTCCTGAGATATGGTTTTTGGTCCATAAGTGGGCGACGTCACGCACATTTTCAAGATTTAAAAAAAGACTACAAAAAACTTAGTAGGGGGCGGGGCCAAACCCACTTTTCCAAAAATATGCCACTCCCTAATGCGATCCTTTGTGCCAAATTTCACTTTAATATCTTTATTTGTGGCTTAGTTATGACACTTTATAGGTTTTCGGTTTTCGCCATTTTGTGGGCGTGGCAGTGGACCGATTTTGCAGATCTTCGAACTTAACCTTCTTATGAAGCCAAGAAATACGTGTACGTGTTCATCATGATATCTCAATTTTTACTCAAGTTACAGCTTGCACGGGCAGACAGACATCCGGATTTCGTCACCCTGATCACTTTGGTATATATAACCCTTTATCTAACTCTTTTAGTTTTAGGACGTACAAACAACCGTTATGTGAACAAAACGATAATACTCTCTTTAGCAACTTTGTTGCGAGAGTATAAAAATTGAGATATCTTGATGAATGAATTGGTATGTATGGTACATGGGAGTGATCGAACCAATACCATGCCCACAAATCGCTATTAACCAAAAACACATCTATAAAGTGCCATAACTAAGCACTAAGATATAAATTGAGATATCAATCATGATTATTTTTTTTCTGCTTTGTCGTGGTTTTTGCAGCTTCGGCTCACTTTGCCACAATATTCGGTCGAATGCTTGTCTAAATAAATGGTTTCCGCTGATCCTTTAAATATTCCAACAATGCCAGTAACATCTCGGACTGTCAATCGTAGATTCTCAGGCACCAATTTCTTTATTTTATTGGGCTGTAGATCATTTGAATCATTGCCTCGAATAACGTTGTGAGTAACATTTTTTGGCAATAATGTCTTTTTCCAAATTACCGTTAATAATGCTCTCCCGTATCATGAGAGGGCAAAATTTTACAATATCCATCAGTTTTTAGCCATTAAGCTGCGTTCCAAAGTCAGTAGTGAGTGGGAAAACGTTTTAAGTGCTGGTGATGATGGCAAATTTAGAGGTGTTGAGCACCATTCAAAAGTGCAATAAAGGAAAAAAACGTAAAATAAATTATGAAAATTGAAAAGATATAAATAATATGAGGCTGAGAAATAGTGGAGAAGCATATTCAGGAAGAAATGGAAAAGTTGTACATAAAAAAAAATGCTCCAGAAACGGTAATATGGAAAAACGTTGTAAGTGTAAACTGTGTCAATATCGGTTTTGTTTTTGTATTCATCAGTGTTTCAACTGCGCTTGTTATCTACAGTGCTCAAGCTTCAAATTGGAGACTATTCAGAAGCATTTCTCTTAATTTTATCAAATGTACTATGACAAGCAATCAAATTTTTTACGCCCGTTAATCGAATTGAAAGAACCGCAAAGAAGAAGAGTTTCAGAGGGCATATCACGTCGAAATGCAACTGTGAATTATTTTCTACCACAGCACAATGAGAGGAACGTGAGAGTGTGCAAACAAATGATTTGTCATACCTTTCAAGTGACACAACGAAGACTTCAAATTTTAGTTGAAAAACTGAAGGCGGGAGATAGTTTGAGTGATCAGCGCGAACGACATGATAATCGGCCGAATAAAATCGTGAATGCTGAGAAGAAAAGTGTCATGGAACACATAGAAGGCTTTCCTTGTCAAGAAAGTCACTACAGTCGTTCTAGTTCAAAAAAAAAAAAAATTGCCTCCATCCAGATTTAACTATTACAAAAATGTTTAAATTATTCAAGGAAAAATATCCAGATATCACTATAAGTTATAATACATACAGAGATGTATTTAACGCAGAATTCAGCTTGAGGTTTGGATTGCTAAGGTCCGACACTTGTCAGCTCTGCGATAAATATTATATTGAAACGACTGCCTCTGAAGACCAGAATAAAATAAGATGCATAGAGAAACTGGCAGAGGCTCATCACAAAAATGCTGAAAAGGCATATTCTAAGCTGAGTGATGATACAAAGTCAACTTTAGGCAGTTCCCATATTGTTGCGCTTTGCGTTGACTTACAGCAAGGGATTTCTACTCCAAATCTCACACACACGGACGTCTTTTATCAGCGGCAGTATTCGAATTACAACTTCGCTTTACATAATTTAGGGCAAAATACTGTTGACATGTATACTTGGCATGAAATAGTTGCAAAAAGGGGTGCAGCTGAAATCGCTTCATGTATTTTAAGA